AATCGATTAAAATAAAAGAAACTACTCACGTCTCTACCTTTCCTAAATAGTATGAGCTCATAGTTTTATTTTGTTCTGCAATACAAGGTTCATGTCGATGACGGCCATAGTCTGTGCAAATTTCTACCCCTAAACACTTCAACACTTCTTTTAGATCGTGTCTCACAAAAGGTGATTATTATCATTAAATAAATACCGTTTGATGAGAATAATTTTATTAGTTTTTCGAAAAAGAAGAAGAAAAATAGAATTTCTCTTTATCAATCTTACACTCGTTTATTTAAACAAAATTATTTATTGATCCGAACAATGATTTTTTCATTGGGAGAACTCAATTAGACTTACAAAATCAAGTTTAATCATTATGATTATGTTTTTTAATAAAATCAATCAGATCCAGAAAATAAAAAAACAAATATTTTAATTATTTAAATTCATATATTATATTAGAATCAAAAACAATTGAAATATTTAATTAACAAACTATCGATCATTAAACATGATTTATTCTTTTCATTTATTAATGATTTTTGTTCAATTCTAACAAGAACATTTATTTTTAATTATCATCTAGAAATGAAACAATTTTATTCGAAATAGTTTATTTCAATCATCAAGTTTTGTTTAAACAAATTATTTGTTTCTTTTTTTCAATAAATCACATTGAAAAAGATGTTTCAACAAATTTTAACTTACCTTTTATTTTATCACCATAGCAGCAATTTCAATCAATATTAATATGAAAATTTATTATTTAATGATTTAAACAATCGACAATATACAAATTAACTATGAAGATCTGTTAAATTTAATACACTGTAATATTTGTCATTGGAAAGGATGTGGGTGTGGTATTAGAAGATAAACTAACACCCACACCCCCCTCAAAAATTTTGAAAGACCTAGAGAGGAGTACAGGTGGAACAATTTTCAGAAATTTGGAATAACTTTTTTCTATGGTGGATTTTTCTGCAAAATCGTCGATTCGCCCACCCCCCTCAAAAAAAACTTTCTGCGGACGTACCTGAGGTGAATACAGTAGCCGCACCTCACCGTCACCATCTATTTCATCAGATTTCTTTAGTTTTTGAGCAGATATTTATTTTTCATCAAGAAGAATACAGTTTTATATCAACAATGTTTAATTGATCATATCATCCTCCTCACCCACGTATATGATGTTGTGGTGATAAGTTATTTTAGTTGGTCACGATGTAGTTCCGGGAATTGCGTTAAGGTGGAATTCGACTGAATTTCTAGGAATTACCACTAATTCCGGAAATTGACGAAACTCGATGAATTTTCGAGTGCGTGTCGGATGTTATGTGTCGATCGAGATTCCAGTATTGAACGGAATCGATTCCTGGAATGTTCAGCATTATGGAATAGGATGACTGCTCTATTATTTATCTATATTTTTATATACTTCTAATCCTTGTAACTATACTTTGGAGTCATATTATTACTTTGCCTTTTTGTTAGAACTTTATTTACTTCTCTCTCACGCACGTCTCTCCTATGTCGTGTAATATAATCTATGCTTCCATTCGAATTTATTCTTAGATCCTTTATTTATCTTTTGGGTGGGTGTGGGTAAATAAAAGATACTCACAACCTGAATATTTTTATTTAAATTAATTTTCTTGTCTTATTGCCAATTATTTATATAGATCAATGGAATAGTAAATATTATTTAACATTATATAATTATTTTTCTCTATTTTAGATTCTTTATATTGATAAATGGAGCAGTATAGATATATGCATATTTAATCAAATTTAATTTTTTATTTTGGATTGTTTTCAACGATAAATAGATAAAAAGTATTGAATTTATTTTATTTTTTTAATTTGGGTTATTTTTAGTAGTAAGAAGCGCAGTAAGACAAGTAGACAAATATCGAAAAATAACGCGTTATAATGCGTTAAAATTTTAATAAAAATAAAATCGTAAAAGGCGCATACTTTGACGCGTTATTTTTCGATGTTTCTCTGCCTGGAAAGCTACCCATTCAGACCCATACTCAGACACACACAGACCATCGTCAAACAATTTTAAAGTTTCTTTTATGTAGTTAAGCGAAAAGAATGTCTGTTTGTATTATTTTACCAACAAAACAGAAATGCGTTTTGACTAATAAAATTTTTTTCTAAGAAGAAAAAAAAATCATATTTTCTGTTTTTTTTCTTTTTATCGTTATTTACCACAACCTTGAAAACCGAAACAAAAGACTAAAGTAAAGAGGAAGAAGACTGAATTTTGTTATTTCACAAGAACCATCTTGAGGGTGTGGGTGTGGGTGCGAGTGTGTTAGATAGAATAAAAAGAACAACTATCCACACCCACACCTACACCCGATAGATCTTTCGATGCTCTGTCAAATGAGATACTTCACGAAGTCCAGGGTTCTCTAATAATGAAGTTGTAGGGCCTAGAAAACTGGGCCTCAAAAACAGGATTTTCAGAGACCTTTTATTTCAAAAAATACTGATTCTGATAGCCCTGATCATGTGGAATCCAAATCTGACATCAGAATTTCTGTAGCATAAAGTAGTGCTAAACTACGTCAGTTATAAAGAATGAAGTACCTTAAAAACCGTTTCGGATGGTACTAGGTATTTGGGCTACAGCTCTTCAACAAGACGTCCTATAGCTTTTATCCAAGACTGAAAAAGTCTTAGAAGTGATTAATACACAAGTCCTAAAAGTTTCAAACGATTTGGTGAATGTTGTGTATATCGTGTCACAAGTACCATGGAAGCACCCAGACTAATTATCCAAAACACAATGGTTGCCTATAAGATCAATTGTATGCAGTTTGTATAGGCTTTCGGTGAGAAATTCATTTGGCGAATTGTTTTCGACGAAATTCATCGTCAGCGAAAAACATTTTCGGCGAAATTGGAATTCACCGAACACCAAAGCGAAAGACTAAAAGTAAAGAGAAAGAACATTGAATTTTGTTATTTTACAAGAACGAGACTGAAAAAAATCCCATTAATGTTATTGTAAACAAGTAAAAAATAAAAAATGAATCAAAACATTTTTTTTCTTTCTATCATCGTGTATTGTATAAATACGCAGAAGAATTTTTGGCCAATTTCATTTCGATTTCGATTGATCCAATACAAAGTAGAAAGTAAGATATTTAATAATTTAATTCAAAATGACTGACGCAAGTGATGTACGTGTGGATGAAACTGTGGTTCGACAAGGTAATCGACCTGTAGAAGTTGATTATATATATACAGAAACTTGGAAGAATGGTAATCAGAAAACGTATCAAATACAAGTTAAACGAGCAGACTATGAACGATTAGCAACATCAAGGAATAAATCAACAGCATTATCATTTGATGATTTTACTAAAGTTTTAAAACCATTTATGATGGGAAAATTTGCATCAGAAGATATACCTACAGCATTTCGTTTATTAGATGCTGATAATTCAGGAACAATTGATGCTAATGAATTAGCTGCATTTATGCCTATTATTGTGCCTAATTCTAGTTCTCATATGCTTCTTCATCATATTCAAAAAGCTGATAAAAATAATGATTATAAACTTAATTTACAAGAATTTACTTCACTCATTAATCAGGGTATTGGTAGAGATATGGCACTTGGACGTTCATAAACAAATAAGAAACATTTTTAAATGAACATTGTTTTTATTAAAATGATTATGTTGTAGAATCCGTTTTAATTTTCATTGTTTTTTTGCTAAATAAAATTTTTCAGAGTCCCATCGTCACTAGAAATAAAATACTGTGTAGTTCAATATATAAACGCACAAATTCAATGAGATATTGAAAATACATTGTGGTGAAATTTTCATTTCGATTGCTAAATATTTTCTAAAGATATACATTCAACGAGACTGTGAATATTAATTAAGAAAACATTCATTCTCACATAACAGCCAAATTGACTGATCAAAACTATGAATAGTCTTCATTATTTAGTAAAAAACAATGTAAATACGCTAATACAGGGTTTCGACTTTGTTGATCAAGTCAAAATCAACGGCAGACAGAAACGATCTGAAAAATAGTGAGATTGAAACCTAACCTTATCCCTGAAAAATCCTTTCCACACATTACTCACGAAACATTGCATTTGGTTAATTTCGTCGGTCCAACATGTGGCTCACATGAAAGCACACTTATTTCCATCTTGAGGGTGTGGGTGTGGGTGTGAGTGTCCTATCTATTCAACACCCACACCCAAACTTTTGTTAATTTATTTGATTTGATCTGTTGTGTTGATAATAATGATAATGAAATATTTGTTACTTTAATTTTGACTTTATTAAATCTGATAAGATCATAGACTGAATTTATGATTTATGATTAAATAAAAAGGTAGAAAATATTTGACTGATGAACTGATCGAATTTGTAATAAAATAATATTTGATAATATTGTTGTTTGTGTCATTATAATAATAATGAAGAAAAAGAGATGATAGTGACGATGTTTTATAAACAAAATATAGATAATGAGTAGATGATTTTTTTATAGAATTGATTTTGACAAATTTCAAATAAATAAATAAGACAATTTGTTCTCCTCAGTCAATGGAAAAGAAAGAAAAATTGTAAAATATGTGAATAATTATTATATTATTTTCTTGAAGTTTATATAGAAAAAGTTAAGATTAAAAAATGATTGAAAGTCAAATGATGTACAATAAGATTATCTTCGTCATAGCAAAATGACAAACAGATTTGACTTTCTGATAAATTTAATATTAAATAGACAAAAATGATTGTTATTGAATAAGATTTTTATTGAAAAAAGAATTAAAAGATTTTTATAAAATTTAATTAAAGAAAACTTGATTAAAACTAATTTGTTATTCTTGTAGAAATTAGATGAAAACTGTGTTTCTATGATCATTGTTATATATCTATGTGTGTTTAATAAAACGGAGATAAATGAAGTTTGATCATTGAAATATTATTTTATGTAATGTCTGATAAAATCTACTTAGAATTTAATATTAAAATGTTTATTAACAACACTATTACTATAATAGATATTTCAAAACATTTTATTCTTTTAATTCTAAAAGATTGATTTGTTAGACTTAATATCTTCCATAATATTAAATTAGAATAAACAACAAACTTCCTTTTTTTTTATCATATTCATTTGTTTTCTCATAGAATTTTTGAGATAAAATAAAATCTATAACTATCTTCAGTATCACTTCTCTCTCTCTCTCTCTTAATTTATTCTAACTAAATCATACAGAAGAGAATATTATTGACTTCTAGGGGTGTGGATGTCAGATAATAGCAACGCTTACACCCACACCCACACCCACACCCACACCCACACCCACACCCACCCACACCCACACCCACCCCACACCCACCCACCCACACCCACACCCTCAAGATATTATTATTATTATTATTAAGGGTAATTTAGCATGGAGAACCCAAATCTAAAGTCAATTTTAATGAAGCAATCAATTAATTATTAACTAGGCACTAATTAGTCGTTAACTAATGAAGAAATGTTTTAAGATTGGAAAAGATGTATTCGAATGTGGAGAATCCGAATCTGATGTCAGATTTAGTTAATTATTAATTATTAATTAGGTACCAATTAACTAATAATTCTTTGTTATCTGTTCTTTATTAAATTATTATTATTAATTAATTAATTATTAATTATGAAGCAGAACCTAATATTCCGATGAAACTTCGTTAGAGATAAAAACATAAAATTTATGAGAAATGTTTTTTTCGTCACATGTTGCCAAAACCACTGGCTTTTCAGAGACTTGTTGATCTTGGATGGTACGGTTTTTTTTAGCAGAGATATACTACATCATAATGTAACTTTAGCTTAAAAAAAAAAAAAAATTTGTTTTTTTCTATGTCTCCAAAAACACGGTTTTTCAGAGACTTCCCGACCTTGGGGGCTCTGATTTTTATAGTATAGGTTTATCACATTATAGTACGACTGAATATAAAAAAAAAATTTTATTTCGTATATCTCCAAAAAACTTGGTTTTTTTAGGGACTTTCTGACTTAGGCGGGTGCTGATTTTTATAGCACACCTAGAAAGACTTTGATACACCTTTACACTAAATAAAAAAAATCTAAAAAAAAAATTTCAGCCTGGGGAAGGGGGGATCCCCTTAAACAAATCTGATGAAGCAAAAAAAAGCACGTTTTTATACCTGGGTAACACGTGGATATGTAATGTTTGTGAGAAAAAAAGAAAAAGAACTAAAGCGTGGGCGGGTGTGGTTTTTTCTTTGTAACGAACAAAAAAAGACACAAATATTGAATCAAAGAACGATACTACACAAATAACTTTAAAAAAATTTAATGTTTTCGATTGTGTGATGAGACTATATCTTTTAGAATTCAATTAAATCGAAAAGTTTTTTATTTACAACTTCAGAATATATTATTTACACTGAACATTGATATAATCTAAAATGAAATATACTCTTTTATAGACGAGAATGGTATATCTTATTTTTGTAATCTAAAGAGTCATATAAAGTTATATATTGCATAACACGGCAATATTCTTATTCCAACTAGAATGGTCTGTTTTGTTATACATATGTTTTTTTCCAAATCAGTTATATTTTTTTATCATTCTTTACTCTCACCTTTTTTGCTTCATCCTACTCATTACCTGTATATTGTTGAATCAATCAGAAAAAACCAATAAATCGTAGTATATATGCATTTGTGACGTCATGTGAATTTTCCAAAATTGAGGTATATAAACAGACGGCGTAATGAATATGTAGTACTATTATCTGCTTTGTCACAACATAAGTCGCTACATTTATTTATTTCGTTTTTCGTTTGAGTATATAAAGTCGCAATATTATTCACTCTTTCATATTATTAAATCGAAATATTTTTTGGATAAAATATTATCCTTCACAACAGGCCAAATAGTAAAAATTTTGAACATTATATTATTTCTTTTTTTGAAAACAACAACAAAATGAAATTACAAATTACTTTTATAATTCTTGCATGTATGGTACAAATGAAATGTAATGCTATGGAAACTTACAATGGACTAGGAACAAGTAAGTTAAAAACATTTATAAATATATATATATGTATTAATTTGTTTTTTCTTAGTTTTTCGGAATGTTCTTCAAGAATATGTATCACCCGATTGTACTAAATATGCAAATGATGATGAAGTTTATAAATCATTTCCATTTGAACTTGATTTTAATTCAACAAGACGAGATTTTTCAAACACTTATGCAATGAAAAATGGAAATGGAGATATTATTGTATTAAATATTAACAAACAAGAATATGTTCCACCATCACTCTTTTGTTTAACAGATTTACAGGAATTACATGTACATAAAACAAAATTTCATACGTTTGATCTTGGATTACCAATTGCACTCGAACGTTTGGCATCAACATTGAAATATCTTACTATTTCTGATACACCTATTCGTTATCTTCCCGAGCAAATTGGTAGATTGATATATTTGAAAACACTCGATTTATCGAATACTGGACTAACAATTCTTCCAAAGTCAATTGGCAAATTAGCATCATTAACTTATTTAAATTTATGTGATAATAAATTAATATTATTACCATCAACCATTATAAATACTCTCTCATTACAAACGTTAATATTAGATAATAATGCTGATCTTCGATCAATACAAGCGCTCAATGGACATTCCAGTTTAAAATTCTTACAAGCAGATAATTGTCAAATTGAACGTATTCCTCGTAATTTATCACAACTAATAAATTTATATATGTCCAACAATAGTCTTACAGATCTCTCTAATATTCACACATTAGGTAATAAAACGAACAAGAAAAAATTGTTTTTCTTTGACAATAATTTTATTCGTTATTTATCACCTCATATTCGTCAAGTGAATAATCTTAATTTTCTCAATCTTAACTACAATAAATTATATGTTTTACCAATGGATATTTACGAAGTTTCAACATTACAAACTTTATATATTCAAAACAATGATTTTGGTGATAAAGATCTACAAGAAATGGTTGCTAGATTTGATCGTACTCATCCAAAATTAAAATTCTGTTATGCATCGAAAAAATCTTGTTAATTCGATACATTTAATTCTTGACATCAGCATTTTTTTTTCTTTATATTTCTTATGATCTCTTTTTTTAAATTTACAAAATAAAATTAAATTGATAATATTATTTTGATAAAATTGAAAACAATTGTATGCTATATATATTAAGGGGACCCCTCCCCTTTCCCGAGTTTTTCAGAAATGGCAAGGCGTAAATTCTTGAAATTTTCAGGGTGGATCGATCTCGAGTAGTGGAGCAAAAGTTGTCCTAGACTCAAACTTGCCAGACCTCCCTTCATAGACTTTTGGAGACCCCAAGGTCCGAAAATCGCCTAAATTTTCCCACCCCGGCAAATCCACAGCTGTCACTATTTTGAGCTGAAATTTGTACTGTGAGTAGCAGACCTAAATCGGGTTGGCCGTTGTTTCGTTTTTTTGAAAAATTCCTGAAACTTCAGGCAAGAGAGCTAAAACACTGAAGATTTCGAAAAATCTCTAGCATTTTTGGATCCTGAAAATTTTGCAAATCCTGCCAAGTTTGAATGGTAAGCGCTATCGACAAAAAAACAAAAACGGCTAATCCAAATCAGTTGAAGTCCCTCCGAAAATATTTTCAGCCGGATTGGACTTAAAATGGCTGAGATAAGGGGGGTAAAACTTTTTTTGGCACCCAAGAAACTAGTTTCGAGAAAAACGCAAAATACAAAAAAAGTTTTAGAAAATTTTACTTATTTTCACTTATACACTAGTTTTTTTGCTGATTTTGCGGTACCAAGGGTAATTTGTCATGCAGAACCTAAATCTGAATTATAATTGAAAAGATATTTGTGTATCTGATCAATAAATAAAATGAAAAGAAATGAGAAATTCGATTTTCATTATTTTTTTTCATATAGAAAAAAAGAAAAAGAAAATGTTGTTGAAAGTCTTCGTAAACCTGCATTGAATATATGTGAGAAATTCTTTTATATTCCATCTGATTTTTTTATGTATAAAATATTTTGAATAAATCAGTTTTATAATAAATAATTATCGAGAGTTGATCAGGCATAAAATGTTGTGACACAAGTTATTTTGAAAATTCGATTTAAAAGAAAACAAATAAATTGAAATAAGAAGAATATTTCTATAGAAATATTAAGAAAAATAATGCTTTTCAATATATTTATTTTTATAGAAAGAAAAATAAACACATTAGATTCATATAAAAAGAGTTTTTCTTTGCAAAAAATATTATCTTGGTTATTCCTTTTTTTCATAGGTTTTACTCGGATTAATAACGTATATAGTATAAGAAGCTATGGAATAAATAATCGTTTGAGTGCGCAGAAATATTTACTTGTAATTTATTCCACAAGAAGAAAAAAATCTCTCTTCATTCTTTAGTAAATCAACCAAGTGAACAATTAACAAATTTATTAGATCTTCTAAAATATTTATTTAATTTTGAAACTCATCGTTTTATTGACAATCATCAATCTATTTGACTCTCAGTTATTTAAATTTTAATAAAAATTCAAGATCTATTCTAGAATAGATATGCTATAATAATCAAATATTCAGATAAATAATAAATAAATTTTGTCATTCTTATCTTTTGTCTATTTTAAATCAATTTCATTTAAACAAATATGAAAATTTTTCTCGTGTTTGAAAACTCACATGTCTTTTGTTTTTTACCCTGAATCTTTTCACTTGTTTTTAATGTACAGTCACTTTCACTTAAGTGTGTAGGTGAAATATATTGAAAAAGAAAAAAAAAAAGAAAAGTAAAATTTTGTTATGTTGGAAAGATTAGAAATAAATTATTCGACGAAAGAAGCAAACAGTGTTACATACACAATAAGAAATAAAATCGACAACAACACACATTACTGAAGTTTTCTCCATTTCTCTGATTTAGTTGTAGTAAGTTGTTTATTAGAATAATTTGTAAAAGTAAAAGAAGATATTTAAAATATCATCGATATATAGTGCAAATATGATTAGAATATTAGAAAGATATAAGATAGATATAGATTTCAACTCAATGACAGACTTTTCCTAATTGTTATTCACTGGTAATTTCTTTTGTCTATTTTATAGTTGTCGAATTATTAATTTTAATTCTCTGATATCGTCTAAAGCAGTTCGTTACTTTTTTTCTTCAAATCGACCCATCACAATTCGTAATTTAATGAAATGGTACCATTATATGAGTAAAATGTCAATTGAACAGATTTGATTTGTCTTGATCAGTGTTGATATCAGTCATCAAAATTTGTAATCAATTTTCCCTTTGTAATAAAGATAAAAAATAGATCAATGAATAGAAGAACTTTTTGTATCATTATTGACGATTTCATAATGATTTAATCTATTTTGCATATCATAAAATACTGTTTTATGCTTATTAATATTTTGTGCACAATAGTACTCTATTTTTTATACTAATATCGGGCTACACTCTTACGAATTTTATATAACTAACTTGATGATATTTATTATATTTCGTCCACTATTAGTTCTTAGAGCATGATGAAAGTATAGTTTTTGCCCTTTCATATAAATGTGTAGAAACAGAGTATCGATAATATGTTCTTGTTTTTTCTTATAATTTATTGTAGATAGACAAGTATATAACAAGTTCATCAAATAGTTTCGAACTTGTAATTATTATATTTTAATTAACGTTTAACAAAATATAAAACACGTAAGATGACGAATCGTTTTGGTGATATCGATGTTTCATTTAAAAAACTTCCACCTGTTTATGGTTATCGAAGTGAAAAACTTGTTACCATTGAAAAAGCACTTGAACCCATCGAGTCTCAAATTGATGAATTACCATATTATATAAAAATAGCTAAAAAGCATTGTCATTATCCATCAGAACATGGACTTACAAAAGATCAATCAGCTGCTGTTTATATTTATACAATGGAATGGGGTGAGACCACTTTATATCGTGTATTAAATATAGCATTAAGATCAGAAAATCGACAAGCATTAAGAATATGGTTTCCATATTTAAAATTATTTGATACAGCATTAGATAAATTACCCACTATCAAGGAAAATTTATGGCGAGGTGTTCCTCTTGATATTGGCAAGAATTTTACCAAAAATCAACTTGTAACATGGTGGAGTGTTAATTCATGTTCATCATCAGTTGATGTTATCAAAGATTTCCTTGGTAATAATAAAAATTCAACTCTCTTTTTAATTGAAGGTATAAATGGAAAAAAAGTTTCTGGTTACACAGAATATGAAAATGAAGATGAAATTATTTTACGAATGGGTACACAATTTCGTGTCAAAAGCAACGCTTTAGAACAAGCAAATGGTTCACATATTGTACATTTAGTTGAAATCGATGATGACAATAATGATGAACCATTAGCATCAGCTATGAATGAAATGCATGTGACTCCAAGACTATCAACTATGGATGAAATGCATGTCACTTCAAAATCATCAGCTATCAATCAAATGCATGTGACTCCAAAATCATCAAACCAAGGTGCTTCGGGTAAGTTATTTTACTTTTATTCGAAGAAATTAAAACCTGAAAATAATTTGAATCAACAATAGCTATGACAAATGTTTGGTACTACCATTTTATAGTTTATTATTAAGTGTTTTTTTAGTAATATTGAAATATACTTTTATCTATTTTAAAGATAAACTAGTGTCCCAATTAAAATTTGTTGATTTCTAAGATGATTATGTTAACATTTCAAATGAATAAAACATTATACATCATCATTAGGAGTTTTAATTCGAGTGATCTCCATGAAGCGAATAGATTACATAAAAATTAGTTTTGTCAATAATTTACATGGTTTTCTTAGTTACATGAGACATTTAAAGCCTTTTCTTTAATCTTCTACATTTTTCATAGATCTCTTTCTATGTATGACTATGAAATTAAACATTTTCGTATTGTGTATGTTTTTCCTAGGTAAAAACTAAATTTTATTTGAATAGTACATGATAATAGTACATGGTTTGATGAAGTTACTGATGAAGAAGATATTCGGATCTATTGATTCCTTATTTTGACTATAAATAGGTTTTAACAGAACTACGCAAATCATAAAAAGCATTTGTATTCATGACTATTTTCTCCCAACATATAATCAACTTTATCTCATAAAATTGAGCTTTATTAACGTTCTTAGTTTATCATATATAAAATAAAGTATTCTTGATGAAATACTTCACTCTAGAAGTTTTGTTACTTTGTAACTGAGACTAAATGAAATTTGAAATGTAAATATATTTAACATATGACATTGTTCAAACAATGGAGAAGAGATCTGTGACAAAGTATAGTTCAATAATTCATAAGAATTAAACTAAACAATTGGTCATCGGTTTTTTTGAAAGTCGATCTTCTGAACATATTATTTTATACTATTGATAGACTTAGAACAGTTCTGTACCAGGTTAAGTATCAGTAATTTCAGTTACTAACTCTCATGAAACTATCTCCCTTCTATGAAAGAAACTGAACCTTCATATGTATCTCACATGAAATCGTCACATACCTATAGTAGAGAAACACTGTTATCAAAAACTAAAAGATTTTTCTTTACATAAGTTTTGATTATATCTTCGACGAAAAGAATCGTGGAGATGAATGTTTTAATACTCTTCTCATTCTTACTGAAACTTCTTTTATAATGAAAAGATGAAATGAAAACTTCATCGACCCAGTTGGAGTTTTTTCCATATAAATCTTGAGTACCTTTACACTGAGATAATTTTCAATACAATACCTTTTGGAAGTACTTTAATGTTAATATCTTACACAATCTTAGTCAGATACTCTCTTAATGATGGTTGTTGTGCATAGTTATATTGACATGTACTTGTAGAATTTCAAAAATTCTCTTATCACTCTAATGAATCAAATATCCAGAAATATTTGTAACAGAGTAAAGAGAGAATACTTTTGTTAAATAATAAAATACTTTGAACTCAGTATGTGGATTAAGGTTTCTATTAAAATGTTAAAAATGTAATCTGTTTATTTGTATAAA